ATAGTTGGGCAGAACTTTCATATGGGGTGTTTAATTTTCCTATTATCCGAAAATATACTAATGCCAATTCATCATATCATATTAGTTAGGATAAATTCTTGTTGTGGATAAACATGAAGAAAATAACCAAAAGGAAGCCCCTCTTTTTTCGGCTAGACGGCTATAGTGAGTAGCCAAATATGAGCTGGCAAGCCAGGCAGCTTTCGCTGTCCTCTTGTTTGACATCGAACGACAGAGTGCTAACCTTGTCCGAGTACCACACAAGATAACAAGACTAAATTACTATGAAAAAACAGCAATATTTATGGGGAGCTCTCACCTTTTGATTTCTAAAGAATACCTGCATGTTACTTAACTAGCACTACGAGCTTCTAGCCCTTTGTCGCTCATATAGGCTGACCAATACCAATCTGAATATTGAGGAAGTATTTATTACAACGTACATTGAAGGCAATTCAAGTTATTAGAAAAAAACACTTGTATTTTTGTGAATTATGTTGCAACTAATTCAAGGATTTTTGGAATAATGTATACACCAGATGCTCAAAATTTAGCGCATTACGCTCAAAATTCGGTGTTGCTCTTAGGCAGACAAGCTAACCCAAGTAACAGTTGCACAAAGAAACTGTAAAGAAGCATATCATATTTGAACCCGAGTAACAGTTGCACCAGGAAGCTGTAAAGAAATATATCACATTTGGTAATCTCTCAGAATGGAAGTACTGCAATTTATAGACAGTTGCTACTTGCTAGCCAGGCAAAAAAACTAACTGTGGCTGCTGGGATTCGAGCCTAGGTCTCCACGGCCACAACGTGGAATTCTCACCAATTCTCACCACTAAACTACGTGGAATTCCTATTTTCTTCTTACAGAGGTTGCAGATGAACCTCCTGCCGAGAAACCTGCTCAAGGGGGCTCTAATGACAGAGGTGATTATTAAATAATTTGAGACATCTTCTTTTTGTCTGGGTGTAACTATACCAATAACAACGTAAAAGTTGCCATCCAGATGTTGCTCTTGCAAGGGTGGAAACTGAGAAGAGGAACTCATTGATCAAAGCATGGGAGGAAAATGAGAAGACAAAAGCTGAGAACAAGTATGTTACTGACTTTTATACACCAGTATGCATTTTTTCCCATGTGATCAACATGAAGAACGAACTGACATCAATGTCGCAGGGCTTCGAAGAAGCTATCTGCTATTCTTTCCTGGGAGAACACAAAGAAAGCAAACATAGAAGCTCAACTGAAGAAGATTGAGGTATACAGCTGTTTCTGTTATTTTTGTTTTCCTTCTGAAAGATATAGTTTCCAATTAGCACACTACTTAAAGGTTACCAACATTCTTTCTTATCAATGATGATGAATGGACTACACGTGTACACAGCCTTGACTAATTAACTGGTAACAGTTATAGGGAAAGCTGTACCTTAACTATAGGACTACACATGTCATACTTGTATCATGTATGGCATCCTTTGAACTAAAGCCTATGCATTTGCACCCTTTCAGGAGCAACTGGAAAAGAAGAAGGCTGAATATGCAGAGAAGATGAAGAACAAAGTCGCGATCGTCCACAAGGAAGCTGAGGAGAAGAGAGCAATGGTCGAGGCAAAGCGCGGCGAGGAAGTCCTAAAGGCCGAGGAGATGGCAGCCAAGTACCGTGCCACCGGCCATGCTCCCAAGAAACTCATCGGGTGCTTTGGGGCCTAAAGAAATTTTCGATTCACAACGAGCAAACGTGAAAGTGTTCATCAGTGGTTGCTTTGCTTCTTTCACCCTCCCAAGTGCGTAGTGTGTTTGTTGGTGCAAGAAAGGTCGTGCCTGGTGTGTAAAGTCTGGTGTTGCTGTATATAACATATTACTCCCAAGACAGATATGTTTGGTGCTGTACATGTTTGATGCTTGACAGGCAACATTCTTATGTGTAGTTAAGAAGCCACATTGTTATTGTTATTGACAGTAAGCTGTTTGTTCTTTTACTGGTGTCTGAGTTTGTCTTGTTTTGATTGGCCTTCATTGGATTCACTAGTAACTGACTGCATCTTTGTGCATGTTAGTATATTTGTTTTCATCTGAATTTCATAAGCACCTGAAGAATCCCCATTTTTGAGTGTGAAATTTTTATATATGTGTTTTTAGCGATTTAAAAGCCAATGCTGAAAAATAAATTACATTGAAGTATCATAAAAATCAATTTCAAAATTAAGTTTTAAAATTTAAATTTTGTCTTTGTTTTATAGGCTACCGAGGGGCTCTGAATACCGGTCCTCCTTAGCCAGGTCAGGTAGTGTTTTGGTTAAATGCACATTTTTTTAAATAAAAATGTTAAATGTGCTTTTTTTTAAAAAAAACTTAACCTATGTTTCTTTTATCCTTTTGAAACGAGAGTGGCCAACGAATTTGGAAGCAACAGGTGTACCATTGTTGTCCTCTAGTCCGCGTACGCAGAAGGCATCCGATCTTCTTTTCTTCTCAGCTGCACAACCAGCTCTCGCCAGTCGCCCCTCATCACCTGGCGTTCCGAGAAGAATTTGGATTGGATTATGGGGGGCGGATTGTCGCGTAGACTAGAGAGGATGGGAGGATTATTTCACCGGCGGCTTTTTAGGGGAGATTCGAGATCTCGTGGGATAGAAGCAGGCCTAGTAGGAGGGCCTCAAATAGTGGGCCGTTAATATCAAGCGTTTCAGGAGTGGGCTTCTTGACTCCTCGTCTGTGTTAGCCTGTTAGGCCCTCTGGGCTATATTGATTTTTTCCTTTCTACTACTTGTTCTTGGGCCAGCACGCACAAATGGCAAAAAATTGGAAACAGTAGGCCCTTTTTACACACCTTACGGTACGTTGTCAACAGTAACGTTGCCGTGAACTCAAGGAACAGTACTCCCTGGTGAGTCGAGCGGTTGACCCCTGCCACGGCATTTAAGATGCGGTGGTGTGAGTGAGAATCATTGGACGGAGAGGGTGGTCGGATGGAGCAGAGAGGATGCAGTGATCAGTGATGTCCCTTTTCGCGTTCTTTTTCCTGACGACGAAAACACAGGGCGCAGAGAAACTGGCAAAACGGCAAGGAAGTTTTGGATCTGTCAAAAAAAACAAACCCTGATTTTCGTGTCCAATATTTGACCGTCCGTTTTATTTGAAAAAATTATGAAAAAAAAATAAAAAGACAAGTTACGCATAAAATATTAATCATATTTTATCATCTAACAACAATGAAAATACAAATTATAAAAAAATTTCATATAAGACGGATAGTTAAAGTTGGACACGGAAAACTAGAGTTTGCTTTTTTTTTTTGGACGGAGGGAGTACCCCTTATCGAAGCGGGTAATAAATGTTGTCCTCGTTGCGACGCCCCGGCTATCCGGTGCATTCATGGAGCCCCCGACGTGCTGCACCTTTGCTCCGCGAATACGTGCCAGTTTGAGCGTTTGATCAAGGAACCTTTGTGCTCCTTTCTACACATGCAGATGAAATTTCCATGGCCGTCATGCTGTTCACTCCACGGCGAAGATCCTAAATCATCAAGCATCCGCGCATCATACGTGCGCATAACAAACAGCAGCTTGGCACACGCAAGTTACATTGTACATTTGTACTCCCAGTACATCTAGTAAAGTACTCTCCTCTCATAGTCTCTATAAAACAAATTTAATATACAGTAATATAACGTATCCTAAGAGTACAAATATCGACAGGCGCAGCCTATTCAAACAAACCTAGTATACGTAGTTTATATAGATTCGTAATTTTAGAATGTGTCACATCCTGTAGTTTTTATTTTTCAAAAGTAATTACTATCTCCCACTCCTACTAGCACACTGGAGTACTCTTTGTGTTCTAATTTTTTATCTATTTCACACATACTAATAATAAAACTAGAATATCCCTATTTTATTACATCCCAATATATCAGTTTGTCACTTTTCTATTCGCAGTATAAATGTATAATTATTACTAATTTTTACAAAATCCAATTCAATAATTACTTTAAAAATTATTTTGATATAAATAGGAGTTAAAAATAAAGTTAATATGAAAAGGAGTGAGTAATATTTTACACGGTGAAAAACGCGTCCAGTCTTGCTTTGAACTTTCAGTACGTATACTTGCTCCCTTACATTGCATCAATCGTAATCGTGCATGGCCGTACGACGAAGACTTGGGACGGTGGGAAGACTTGCTATACTAACCGCTTTTTCCATTGGAGTAGACCATTCGCCATTACTCTCCATGCATGTCAAATCGAAACTTAAAAAGACAAATTTAAAATTCCCAGAAAAAGAGGCAATCTAAAAAAAGGTTTAGATTATGCATTTATTTATAGCCTGGTACAGTGGTCGGAATCCAGGAGGAGACATCCAGGCATGGTGCATATGCCACGGACTTACCGGTCCAACGCAACGGCGTAGTCGATCGTGATCGACCTACGTACGGGACGACGAGGCGCAGGGTCGGTCGCTCCAAACCTTCCGAATCACCGGCTGGTCCAAGCTTGATTTGCCCCGGCCGCGTCGTCACACGTATCGTGGTGTGTTTCTTCTCCCCGTCATTTAATTCTCACGGCGCAAACCGACCATCCATGCACCGCGACGTGAATTGGACCGACCTTTGCGCGACTGCGCGTCTCTGCCTGTCTCTGGTGCAACACAGCGCAGTAGATCGGTCCCGTATGCTGGGCCAGCCAGCAACTTAAATTGATTTTCACCAGCAGGTGAAAAACGAAAGGGGGAAAAAAACAGCCTCTACTCTGTATAATCCGATCCGTGAATGTTCTCCCTATACCGTTTCTCTCTCAGTGTGTGTGGCAATTAATGAAGCCATATGATGAGGGGATTTCTCCGTCTGCGCCTCCTGCAGTCGATGGATCATGTACAATCTTCCTGCAGGCACAGCGAACACATGATGACTTGCATGGTACAGTACAGTAGTGTGTGTACGCATACTGAAAATACACCGAAAGCTGAGACACGCCACAGCTCGCCGATTACTTGTCTAATCAACAAAACACAGAAACGCTGATCTGTTTGCACAAACTGAAAAAAAAAAGTTTGACAAGTCTACATCATCACCATCAACGCCACTGGTATACTCGCTCTAGCTAGAGCAGTCGCAAAAAAAACTCCAGCTGCCCTAGCCACGGTCATCCACGCATCACGACGGTACACGTACGTACATACGCCACGGGTGACACAAGACACGCAAGCAAAATCGCATGTGTGTCTTGTGTACGTATGTACGTACACGTACGCGTGCATCAGCGTGGCACGCGCGTATACGTACGTCAGCCACTGAAACTGATCATGAGCTTTTAGTCGAACGCGGTGTAGAGGGATGTCTCGCCGAGCATGTCCACCGCCGGGAACAGCGGGAACCCGCCGTGGCGGCCGTGGAACAGCTCGAAGTCCTCGGCCGCCAGGTCCAGGAACACCTGGTACTCGTCCGCCGCCGCGGCCGCGGTCACGTTGGACGCCGCCGAGGAGTCGTCGCCGGGTCGTGCGAATGTCGCCGAGACCGGCGCCGCTTCGTCTGATGCGTTCGCCGGCTCTTGATCCTCGCGCGCCGCCGAGCGCGCGGACTTGCGGAACGAGTCACCGACCTCGGAGTTCCAGAGGCGCAGGTAGATGTCCGGCGGCGCCTCGGCGCCGCCGGCCGCGGCTGTGGACGACGAGGACGAGGAGGCAGCGACGCTGGCGGTCGCGACCGAGGTGGTGCCGGAGAGGAGGGAGAGGCGCGCCTCTGCCTCGAGGCGCGCGGTCTCCCACTGCGCCATGTGGCGCGCCGCGGGGCAGCTGGCCGCGCCGCCGCCGAGGCTCGCCAGCGCGGCCTGCTCGCCGACGGCGGCCGCCTGGCCCTGGCGGAGCTGCTTCTTGACGTTGGTGTTCCAGTAATTCTTGATCTCGTTGTCCGTCCGACCAGGCAGCTGCGCGGCGATCATGGACCACCTGTGACCGATCGATCACACGAAGGTAACACGTCATTAGCACCGGCGCGTGACATGCTCTACGGTCTACAACCCGGTTTCTACGTGCGTAAGCAAAGAGACCGACAGTTTTGGAAGCTTTCCCCTGTATGCAGATGATAACGTAAAAGGCATCGTTGACCTTCTGATACAGACTCAACAAGGAGTATATCATCATCATCATGCAGCAACTGAAGAATTGAATGGAGTAGCACTTTGGTGGCTGCAGGTACATTGGTACACGCATGCGTATTGCGTTGAATGCATGTCTCTACTCCTAGCTATGTGCAGGATAGAGAAAGAAAAGAGGCTGTTCATTAATGAGTATAGTACAGAGCGACTCACTTGTTGCCGACGATGGCGTGGAGCTGGAGGATGGACTTGTGCTCCTCCGGGGTGAAAGGCCCGCGCTTGATGTCCGGCCGCAGGTAGTTCGTCCACCGCAGCCGGCAGCTCTTGCCGCACCGGTTCAGCCCTGCACGCACCCATCGATCGCGCACACGCGCCTCGCCTCAGCGAAAACCGCACAAAAAAAACGAAACGGAAGCACTACTGGACCACGCGCGCGCGACGCGGCGGCCCCAGATCGATCGCAAAAGAGACGAACGTACGTACCGGCGAGCTTGGGGAGCAGGCGCCAGTTGCCGGAGCCGTTGGCCTGGACGTAGTCGACGAGGAGCTTGTCCTCGTCGGGCGTCCACGGCCCTTTCTTGAGCACCTTGCTGTCGCAGCAGGGAGTCCTCCCCATGGACGCCGGCCTGCCTCTCGTCGACGTCACTCGTTCCCCTCCGAATTATCACGCACCTGGGGCGTGGCGTTGGCGACACGAACGAACGAGCGATTAGGCGAGACGGGACGGGATTTATATAAGCCGACGAGGAGGGGAGGGAGGAGGAGGAGGATCCAGGGAGGCCATAAATGCACCGGATTTTCACCTGCTGCAAACAATGAGCGGGGGAAGGCAGCGAGCGGCAGTGCAGTACTACGCCGGAAAGGAGGCAATAATAGCAAGTGGTCGACGGGGGAGTCGGGGAGGAGGGATGCATTTAATAGGGGGCGAGGAGCTTTCTTGCAAGTACGCCGGACGGGGGCCAGGGACTTGAATGCGTAGGGGACTACCGGTTGTCTGTTGTTGCACATGTGCAACTGCCTGCGACTACTAGGATGGTAGAGTGCGTTTTGACTGGGGGATTGGCGCCCGACGACGATGATCATCGCCGATTTCTTTGCGCAAGGAATTTTACCTTATGTGTAGTTTCTGAATTTCTGACGAAACCATGGTGTTTTATTATCCCGTTACCGTCGAGAGTACCGTGTGACTACTATACTAAAGAGAAGCACCCAGAGATCTTCCGGCTAGCTCCACAAGTTGGTGGGCTAGCCGGTCTGGATTTGAAACCTTACCCCTTTTATTTATTTGATATTAGGTTATTCCTTAATATTTGAGACTACTACACTAAACATGCTTACTGGCGAACGGGAAGAGTCCGATAACTCTTATCAAATTCAAAAAGATATTTAAACCAAAATTTTGAAACCTTTCATGAAATCCATCTGATTTTTTCACTATCCACCGTGTTAACCACACGCTACCGGGCTTACCGGCTGCATATGGTAACCCTTCCTCCCTCGGTAAGGTAAACATACTACCAAATCATAAGTGTTATTTGAAAGAAAAAAGTTTGAATTATCTCTTCAACTTTTGCGGTAGTCTTGTTTATCCACTTTAATTCAAATTTAAGACGTCACTACTAGAAAAATCATTTGTTGCCACGAAAAAAATCGTGGCATCAATACTAAAATTGTGGCAATAAATACATGTTGCCACAATTTTAAAATCGTTGCTAACCGTGGTAATAGGTTATTGCAACGATTTTTATTTAGTGGTAATAAATTTAGATGTTGCCACGGAATAGATGTGGCAAAAAATCATATTGCAACACTTTACATCGTTGTAATAAAAGTTATTTGCTACCACTCCATATGTGGCATTAGTTCTACGTACCAAATTAAAAGTTCAAATATTAATCTATCATCCTATCTATTTATATTTATTTCTTTATACCATATCTTGGCTAGGATTCGAACCCAAGACCTATCCTTCACGCATGATCTCCTTTATCAACTCACCTACTGTCGAGGGGTAACCCTCTCTAGCGGGAGGCCGTGAGGCTCCCTTTTGTTAGTTCGGCCGAGGGCAGCGGGTGAGATTCGAGGATTTTGTGAGAGAAACTGTGTGTGATCTTGATCTCGGAGGCTCCTCCAAGACGATGAGACAAAAGAGGCTTATACAGGTTCGGGCCGCTATGAAGCGTAATACCCTACTCCTGTGTATGATTCTTCTGTGCTTAGAAAGTCCCTGAATCCCGCTCTCCCCGAGGGGGGTCGAGCCCAGTGGTTGCGGCGGCTGCCCCTTCCCAGCTTGGGGTCGGGCCGCCCCTAAACCCACGTGGCTCCCCCCGAGGGGGGTCGAGCCCGGGGTGATGCGGCGGCTACCCCCTCCCAGCTAGAGGGAGGAGGTCGCCCTCAAACTCACGTGGCTCTCCCTGAGGGGGGTCGAGCCCGGGGTGGCGCAGCGGCTGCCCCCTCTAAGCTAGAGGGAGGAGGCCACCCTCGCTTGGGGTCGAGCTGCCCCGACCCCCTCCACGTATCAGCCCACGTGTATAGGGTTAGGTGGTCGCGCCTAATGCCCACCTAACTGCATTTAAAGCGGTCTATGCAACCGCGTCATGCCGCATTTAATGCGGCGTGCTGCGCATCTGACCGGTCTGTGACCGGTTGAATAACCGATGGGACGACGACTATGTACCCCCGCCCTGTCAGTGTGTCAGGCGGCGAGCGGCGTGCTCCGTCCCGTCCCATCATAATGATGAGGGGCTTCACAGCCTCTTACCCCGGTCAGAGCTGGTCCAACCACTCTGAACTGACCCGGGTTCCTGTTTTCTGGTGTGAACGAGAACCCGGAAGTCCTCATCCATTAAATGGCGAATGACAAGGGCGCCCTGCATGATTTGATGGGCCACGCGCAGCAACCGACGTGTAGATAGCTTCTGGGCTAAGGCACAAGACATGTAATTAATATAGAGAATATTTTCCCTTCTCCCTAGGTAGCACTCGCAGCACATGTGGTATCCCCTTAGAGTATAAAAGGAGGACCATGCCTAGTGAGGAGGGGGGATCGGACTGAGGATCCCTGAGCCAAAGCTTGTCTAACCCTAGCTTGCATACCAGGGATTCAGGGACTTTCTAAGCACAGAAGAATCATACACACAGGAGTAGGGTATTACGCTTCATAGCGGCCCGAACCTGTATAAGCCTCTTTTGTCTCATCGTCTTGGAGGAGCCTCCGAGATCAAGATCACACACAGTTTCGCTCACCAAATCCTTGAATCTCACCCGCTGCCCCAGGCCGAACTCACGAAAGGAGGGTCTCACGATCTCCCGCTAGAGAGGATCACTCCTGACCCCCCCTCGGGGGAGCCACGTGAGTTTGAGGGCGGCCTCCTCCTTCTAGCTAGGAGGGGGTAGCCGCCGCGCCACCCCGGGCTCGACCCCCCTCGGGGGGAGCCACGTGGGTTTGGGGGCGGCCCGACCCCAAGCTGGGAGGGGGCAGCCGCCGCAACACCCCGGGTTCGACCCATATCACCGACACCTACGCATCATATTTGTTGGAATATGCATATTGTTCCATTTGAGTCTACCTAACTGAGATTTTAATCATAGATTTGAATATCTAAAAGATTTCAAATGAAAAATTTATCAACTATAAAATTATAGATCTCGTTGAGAGCTACAATTTCCATATAAAATTTGTCTCAATCCGTATCCATATGAAAAAATTAAGTTAAATTATGAGACGACAATTTTTTTATTGCAACGAATTTGTGGATCGTGGCAACAAAGAATAGTGAAAAGTACCATGTATTATATAAATTGCCACAAAAATTAAAATTGTGGCTATAGAACATGTTTGTTGCAACAGTAAGATTTTTCGTGGCAATATCTCATTTTCTATTGCAACAAAAGTATGAAATAAAACAACAATTGTAGATCGTTGCAATAAAATATAATTATTTGTCACAGAAAAATTATCATTGCAATAGTACAATATATTGCTACGAAATATTTTTTTTGTTGTAATAATTTGGTGGCAATAGCTCAATTATCTTGTAGTGCGTTTTACACCCCAAACCCTTCAAATAGGATGAATTATCTACTTACTCAATTCGAAACAGTTTTGGTCCTAGTGGCCTACACATTGCAATCCAATCAATGAAAAAGCATTAAAAATGTTGGTGGAGCCCAACCATCAATGCTTCACTCATCTTCCTTTCCTCCCCGAACTCAACCTCAACAAGCGATGAGGACAATGACATGGCAGGCGTCAACCACCACCGACCCTCTTCCTCGAGGTTGACCTCTGTAGGCGACACCGACAATGATGAGGGCATGAGGCCACCACTTCATCTTTCTTTCTTGTGACTCAGTTGTCACGTGTCTCACACGGGCCCATCTCCTCTACACATCTCCTTGCTAAGCTCTAGGGCTACCCCATTTGTCCTCCTTCGACTCCACCTATGAGCTACAAGCGATGGTTCGAGCGTAAATCCGACGAAGGCAAAGGTGGCTACCTAGTCAAAGTTATTGAGGCAGGGGTGTCATGGGCGTCAAAGGGGACTTTGGGAATGAAGCGGTGCCTGCAACACAGGGGAGATGCAATGTCCTACACGAACTCACTGGGTGCCGATTTCAATGTGAGAAGAAGGAAGACGGGGGATCTTAGAGGAGATGGAACTTGTGGACATGCGACGGTGGAGACAATGGAGCAGACACCGGTTCAAGGTGCTTGCTAGCCCTAGCTACCTCCATGCCTTTCCCGTGGATTCGTCATTGTTGTTTCTCATCTACTCGTCACAAGTCTGGCATGGATAGGCTCAAGGATCCTTGGGAAACATGAGCTTGATCTCAAGCTCGTCTGCACCGTGCTCATGTAGGCAGTGACAACATGCTTGAAAAGATGACTAAGGTAGTCAATCCTAGGATATGCAGGTCGAAAAGCCACCCCTCTCTCTCTCTCTGTCTCTCTCTCTCTCTCTCTTTCTCTCTCTCTATTGGGACACATGTGGCACTAGTCATAGAACCCGTTAGGTACGTCCCATTGTCACATAGGATTAAAACAAGATTTATCGCTACATTGGATTCAACGTACAACCAAAACTAACTTGTATTGGGATAGGGGGTGGGAGGGTTATTTGTCCGTTTGAAGAGTTACTAGGGATGGGGAATGATTGCTTTCATAGTTTAGGGGATGATTGGGCAATCGCAGTAATTCAGGGGTAAAACAGATTTTTTTTCCTATTTGAAACTATGCATCAAAATAATCTACCGCGATTGACATAGATGCAATTGTATCCATCTCATGGGTCATGCTAGTTTATACTAGTTACCAAATTTATCCGTCCCTAGAGTCGTTTAACAGTCTTGTAATTACTATATGTTTTGCTGTAACTTATTTTGTTGGGGGATTACACATTTTACCTTTTTTTATTATATTGGTTTACCCCCCCCCCCCCCACACACACACACTCCCTCATAGAAAGTGGCAAATCTATTGCAACTATAACTCCTATAGAGTGGCAAAAAGTTAATTGTTTTACTAAATTTATGTTAAAAGTGAACGGTGAAATATATTTTAAAACAAGGGGGAGTAGGGGAAGCGCACGCGAGTGGTGTGTTGGTGGAGTTGTGAGTCCATGACTCCACCCACTAAGGTTTAAATCATAGTGACCACGAATATTACGCATACATGAGTAGACTTCAATAGGAATGCTATGAGATTAGGGAAATGCCATTGTTTTCTGTATCTTTAAACATATTTTAGGAGATGTATTTGTGGGTGTGTGAGTGTGGTGCTGCGTGTATAGTGGTATGTGCGCGTATGAGCCTACCGTGTAATCCAAAAAGCAAAGGAAGTTTATATGTGTTTAGTGGTTAATGGAAAATATACATTGGGATATAAAACACATAAATTTAAATAATAAAGTCTTAAAATTTAAAATTAGGTTGCGTATAAGCCAATGTAAAGATGTTGATCGAGAGCCCTAAGTACTACCTCCGTCCATAAATATAAGGCATTTTGGTAGGATGTATCATATCCAATTAAAATCTCTTATATAGACGGATAGCTGCTATCAACATCTACTACCATCCTGCTCTATCCATGCATGTAGTCTACGGCGTCCCTGCACGCCAATAATGTTAAAAGCCGTGGCCTAAAATCTACTAGTACTACATGGTTGTTGACGAAAAAATCAAACACACCGGCCTGGGAGATCTGCTTAGCTCCAGTGCAGGTCCAAATATGATGAGATGCGGGCGTGCCAGTCAGTTTGATCCTGCAACTAACAAGATATGTAAACAGCAGATAAAACAGCCGATCGGCTGACAAGCCGATGTCGAGATTCCAGCCGATAGCCAATAATAGCCGATGCCGATACCAGCCGATAGCGATAGGGTTTAGAGCTATCGGCTATATGTCCAATGTAGATAATGATATAAAGGCAATCGGCTGATGATGATGTAATGAAATAACAATATAATCCAGTATAAACCAATCGGCAAATAATGATATGATAAATAAGCATCGATCTGAAGGTTAAAGCACACATCGGCTGGAGGTCTGATGTCATGAAATCCACAAGATTAGATTAAATAGTGAAACATTTGTTGTCATCGGCTAAATCCAACTTATATGTATATGCAATCCTTATGAGCCGATGCAACGTCCAGATAACTCACCGACTAAAACCCCGATGAAACCCTTATTGACAATCAATAAGCAGGCTAGAGATTATGGTTCTAAGCACGACTAAGCACGACTTAGTAGATCAAACTTAACTGATGCAGCACTAAGTATGAAAAGAAACACAATATCTAGACAATCAAGCCGTTGACTGATTTTCAGGGTGGTAGATGCCTAGGCTAATCTAATCTAGCAACGCGATTTAGCCGATACCGGCAGAAATCCTAAAGCGAGAGACAGCCGATAGAGCTAAATTGATATGCTAAGACTAGATTAACAGAGACATGATAAATAGGTAGGCAAATATATCATCCAAACCAGAGCAATCCAAGATGTCGAATATACTGATGTAGCCTTGAACGACGCCGACGTAAACGATACAATTGCCTGGGCCGACGGAATATTGGACTTACCCCTTCGCCGGAGATCGAACACCGATGCAGCCCCGCGTCAGGTGCCAAGTCCCGCCGGACGATAAAATAAAGTAGAAAAGGTAAAAGGTGGCGATGCGCCGAATTGTATTAATCGTGAGGATAGATTACAATGACCCTGGGTGTACATATTTATACCCATGGGTTGATACAAGTCCTTGTCGGACAAGAAAGAAACCTTCCTAAAGATAAAAGGAAAAGATAAAGTCCTTATATGACACTAAACACACTTTCCTAAAGATAAAAGGAAACTAACAAACTATTCCTATTTAATAGATAACTTGCCATGCCGCATTCTCTTTAAACTCGGTCACTTATGGATAAGCTTCCGTTAGTATATTGATTTCCTTAGCCGAATATAGCAGGAATCCGACTATTGGCGACTTGATAACTCCCATCGGCTGATCTCGAGATGCTGCAGCCGATAATGACTCTAAGCTGATGACGTCTTTGCCGATTACCAAATTTCACTGTTAACAATGGTTTGGTACTTTGGTAGTCCAGTTAACCTTGAAAATATACTGTACTGCTTAGGACTTGTAGGCAGGGTTTGACTTACCGCCGGTAACCGCGCGGTTACCGCGGTTACCGGGCTTACCGCGGGGTACGGTAATATAAATACCACGGTAACCTCCTTAAATTTAAATAAATTTAAAAAATAATTTAAATTTTTGATAAATTTTGCACTGTTTTGTACGGTTTTTCACGGTTACTGCGGTTACCGCGCGGTAACCGTGCTTACCGCCGGGGCGCTGTAACCCCGGCCCCGGCAGTTTGGGAAACCCTGCTTATAGGAGGCTAGGATTTGATGGATCAACTTCCTAAGTGATCTATACCAAAACCGACACGACCACGACGAACGGACTTAACGAAGATACGCCCCAATCTCGTTCAGAAACTTGGTAGCCGACTATACTAGCCGATCGAACAACCGAGCAGGTCAAACGCAAACATTCGCGCCGCGTGCAGCCACGAAAACTCAAGGGCAAACAATGACCAGAGGCTCAGGCGGCCGACTGGTTTCGTCGCCGCGCCGCTCCGCTCCTGTTCGGTCTAGCGCACATAGCGCTGGCGACCATGCACAGCAGCTCCACGCCACCAACGCACAGGATCAGTGATGGGCAGGACTGCAGTTAATAAGCTTGGCCTAGGCCGATGCCGATGCCGGTGATGATGAGATGGAGACGTGAAGCGGAGGTTGTAGCCATAAATGAGTGGTGGCCTGGCAGTGGCTGCTCGTCCTGCCACACGGGCGTCGCTCGGATTTTAGCGCAGGCGGACGTACGGGAAGGTAAACTGGCGAGACAGCAGCAGCAGCCGCCCCCGGCCTGCTTGTGGGGGCGAGGCGTAGTAAATGCGGTGGAGCGGCGAGGCGAGCCGGAGCATCTGGCTCGCCGCGGATGCCGCGCCTGTCCCCGCCCGCGCGCGCGCAGTGTGTGGCGGTGCCACTGTGCCAGTGGTGGGGGTGCTGCTCGGTGCTTCTCTCGTCGTCGTGGTGAAGGGAGTACGTACGGAGTAAGCAAGAGGGGCGGGGGCGGCACCGCCACCGCCGGCACGGCACGGTGATTGAACGGGACAGCGAATCGTGGGCACTCTGGTGGGGTTGGGACCCGACGTCGACGAGACCTCCCTCGTTTCCCTTCTGTCTTGTCCGCGACATCGTTCGGTCTAGATCGCGATGCTTGGGACGTCCCGGTCTCGTGATCCGGCGCGAGATCGAAGATGAAATTTTACGCGTGCGCCGTGACAGCTGACAAGACGATACCGATTCATCAGCAGCCCCGGCGAGCCGCGGTGCAGCCGTGCATGGTGTAGTTTACACGAAGAACGCTGCGGCCTGCGGTTGCGGCGTGTATGCATGCGTGTATGGACGAAAGTCACGAAACGGAGAGGGTGGTGGCGCCCTTGGGTTGTGTGGAGTTCGGGAGGTTTGAGCGTTTTCGCGCGAGAATGCTCCCGCTCCTGCTAAGGCGCGTCGGCGAGTCTACGGCCCAATCGCCAGGGTCAAACGCAACATTCACCGATAGATGGCAACTGCAATCTGCAAGGGTGGAAACGAGCCAAGCCTTTGCTCGGGCGCTCGGCTAATGGAAGTTCGCATAAAGGGAGCCTCGGCTCGATCGGAGTTGGAGGATCGAGCTAAAACAGCAGGTAGGGTTGGCTCTTTGACGGGCTAAAGGCAGCTCGAGGTGGCTCGTGAGTCACCCTACATTTTAAATTTGAAAAATGGGTTAATAGAGTCTAATTGATTGTCCACATTCGTTTTGCGCGTCAGGCCCTCCTCCGGAACGCAACCTTAAAAACCAATAAAAAAAACCACGTTAAAAATATTTTAAAATCAATTTCAAAATTAAATTTTAAAATTCAAATTTTAGCTTATTAAGCCAACCAATGAAACACTAAATTTTTAAAGCATTTTTTTATAAAAATATTTTATAAAAAACACACCGTTTAAAAGCGAGAAAAATCTTCTCTCAATCATCATATGTGGAACGCAGCAAGTAATGGATGAAAGCTGGCCAGCCTAGGAGCAGGCTCAGGCTTGGCTCATGAATTCGAGCCGAACGGAGTAAGGCCGAACCCGAGCCATTTTTCCAACCGATACCTGATTTTAAGGTAGTGTTGTACTACGTATTATTTGCATAGTTTTATGATAATCCGATGTCCACGAGAGCTAGGTGGCCGTCTGGACGGGTTTCCAGTGCCAAAACTGTGGCTGGGTTAGAGCATCCTGCATGTAGGGAAGCAAGTGAGACAGACAAGCTGATTAATTTTCCGCTTATCCCACTTCCAAATATTGTACTATCATGTGGGAAACTAGTAAGTGAATTTTATGAGAACTAAAATGCAAGTGGGATGAACAAGCGTGTTTTTATCCCCAGCTTATCCCACTTTCAAATATTAACTAGTAAATGGGTTTTGTGATAAATGAAACAGGTTTTTATATGGGTAGCATGATTATCCACGTACATCCCAAGTTCCCAACCCTGCAGCCACACCTGCATGCAGTACTCGCATAACGATGGTCCTCTAAGAAGGAAAAACGATGTTACCCAGTCCAGCGGAGATGTCTTGTTTTAACTTTCATTTTCACGCTAGATTAGCTAGACGCAGCACCAGCGGTTTTTTATGTTCCCGAATTTGGATTTTATTGTTGAGAGTGCCTAAAGTCATGGACCTAGGATGCGTATAAATGGAATAAAATAGCTACAAGACCATAAAACGGTTTTGCTCCACAAGTTTCTCGGTGATACAAGACAAATACTGCATTGTTTTTTTGGCACTCCATGCTGTTAAGCACATGCAACGACATAAAAGCCAACAGTGAGAAGAGAACATAACATCTCCGATCCACAAATACTCCTAGTACACCAACCCAGTCAAACAATACATTACAAAATGATCATTCAATCAAAACGCATGAAAATAGTACAAAATACTGGAAAGTGAAATGCTGAAAGTATCCATGAAACATTGAGACCATGATGCTGATTCACTACCGACACACGGTGACAGCATCGCTCAGGTGGAATAAACCATCCGTGTGCAGCGAGGCCACAACACAGACAGAAGAAGGTACCAGGGTTAAAAAGTCCTGTAAAACAAGCTAGCTGATACAATGTCGGATGACAACAGGTCATAAGAGATTAGGGCAAACAACCTGGGGTCAGACCTTATCAGCAACATTCAATATTGTCTGATCAAGAGCTTCACGGCTAAGCCACAGCATTTAGATGAGCTTGTTACAAAGTCACTTGCTACTGAGTGCCCCTACACAACTTTGATTAAGATACACCATGTGAGATCATGAAATGACACCTGCATCATTAAATAGATTTGAGTCGAGCACATTACACAAATGAATCGTAGTGAATAGATCTAACGTAGAGAATATAATGATAAATTGAGCATGATGAATATGAACATGCATGCGAGGTCATGGTAAATTGAGTGCCAGCTAATATCACGTTAATCTACCTTCAGGGTTAACTGAAAACAAGGATGTCACAAAATACAACTCTAGAAAGCACTCCTGTACAACGCATGAGAACTATTCAGGGGAAATCTGGGCCTGTACCCTGGCTGGTCAGAGGCTTTCAACAACAGTAAAGAGATATTTTATCGAGTACCAACATAAGTTATATTGTTCTTGTAATGGCATTACTGGTTTTATACCCTAAAGATGCAGGATAACGAGCCCTGTACGACAAACCCTGAGATCCTCAATACAAATGTCTGCATGTGAAGACATTTTCAGCTAATGTTACAGGCCCCAAAACCAGTTCTCCATGAACTTTCGGACGACATGAAGGTCCTTGATTTGCATGAAATTCAATGATGATGAACAGAAGACTTTTCTACAGAGAAAAATAATGAAGCGGCATTTAACAGAGGATTGTAGATCCACTACATGCAGAATGATTGGTGTAGGTACCTGATGAGCTGATATTTACACAGGTTATCTTATTACTTCCAGAGATTGGCATACAAGATCGTTCTGTCAGATAACTATTGGCAATATATTGCTCGGTCTATCTGAGGTGGTATTGGTTTTATCTCGGTTCCAAGCTCTTGTTCAATGCGATACCTGCACGCGCATACACACACCTCAAAAAAATGTTAATCAGCTAAACAGGATACAGAAAGGAGCTATAGCACTGATGATCTGAATTACATACAAGTTAAAACGGTCCTCATAGGTGATCAAATTCACAGCCAAACCAAGGTGGCCGAATCTGCCAGATCTACCAACCTACAAAGGAAAGTGTCAGTGAAACTGTAAGCAAAAAAACAAAATGTTACTCCTTCCGTCTTAGGTTATAAGACGTTTTGACTTTGACTAAAGTCAAAACGTCTTATATCCTGAAACAGAGGAAGTACAATAATATTTGCCATAGGCATTTAGAATGGTCAAACAAAGAAGTAAAATAGCAGCAAGGATAAGCATTCAATCTTAAATGTCCATGTCATAAAAAAAGCCATCTTAGGAGAAGATATTCGGCAGGCCACTATAACAGAAATTATAAAAAAATCTCAGTTCTTTCAATGCATACCCTATGGAGATATGTTTCTGCGCTCTTGGGGAAATCAAAATTGATAACAACATTAACAGCTTGGATATCTATTCCCCTTGTAAAAAGATCTGCAAAGGGAAATATGAGATATTAGAACCCAAATGATGCCTCCAGTTTGCTGAATATAACAATAAGAGCTTTGGTTGGCACTTGGCAGCAAGGCATTTTTATCATGCTAATTTCTAGCAGGCAAGATAAGAAAAACACCAAAAGCATAACTTTACAATGAATGGAATATCAGCACAAAATTAGATAGCCATGGAACAAATTACAAAAGTGTGGCCAAGCTCTAACATAACATTGTAACAACCTCTCTCATGGTTGACCTTTAAATGTCCCTAATGCCAAAGAGAGATAATATTGGCTAATTAAACTTATAATGGGAATCTATATGTTGGATTTTCTCACACTTTTGGACATACCTCATACTTGGTAAAGTAATTCTTAAAGTATTTAACAAACAACAGGGGCATACAGGTTGCATATCTAAAACATGTTCAAAAGCAAACACTAACTGAATTCATCAACTTTTTGGCATAAACTATATATAATAGGAATCAAATAGGGCATTTTATATATTTCTAACTTTCTTGTAAAATGAGTAGAGATTTAGTAAAGCGATAATGTATTTAGATACATTTCCTGGAGCTTTTCTTTCTTTGATTTGGAAGATGAAATTAAGCAAGGTGTCAAAAGCCTAAAATCCTTAATAGTAATTTTTTTTAAAAAAAAACAAAGCCTTGAATACAGAATATTAAAGACTCAGTGTGGAACCGATAGTAAGATAGATATGGAATAATGTTCTTTAATAGGGAAAAAAGAACAGTTAACTATTAGAAGGAAATCTATATACCTGTACAAACCAAGTTCCTGCATGCACCATTGCGAAAATCATGGAAAACCCTGTTCCGATGGTCTTGCAACATTTTAGCATGGATATAGAAGCAAGAATAACCAAGCTCTGTGATCTTCTTTGCCAATAGTTCAACACGATTTACCGAGTTACAGAATATTATCGATTGATTAATTTGCAGCTGTATTGAAACGAAATTGGATGTATTAACTAAAGATTATGATGACATCAAAATGAAATCATGGTTAAAAGCTCAGTTAGTAAGGGCTATTGGGAAAACCTTGGAAAAAAGAGTATTAAGACAGTGGACTTTCTGCCTCTCTTCAACAAAAGCATAAAACTGTGTAATTCCCTTCAATGTAAGTTCATCCATAAGGTTAATGACATAGGGTTTAGGGAGATATTTGTCCTTGAACTCCTTGACAGTCACAGGGAATGTTGCAGAGAACATCAAAATTTGCCGATTCGATGGAAGATACCGAATCAATTCCTGAATAGACGGTTGGAACTCAGGAGAAAGAAGCTTGTCTGCCTGCAAGAGAAGGCAATATTACTCACAAGCACTCATGCCTTTTTGTCTACAAATCTACCAACACACTACAAATTCAAACATATTTTTTAAAGTTCTCCTTTTGTAGCATACCCATTATTAATGTTCTCGTCCAAACATCAAAGTTGCTCGTGTCGAATTTTATACAAACACATAATCGAAGTAGAAAAAAGCTTAACTATTGTTTTATGTTCAGATGCCACTTAGAAAAGATATTAGAGTATCTTACTTAAGAACAGGAGCAACAACACATGAAAACAAGACAGACAATGATATACCTCATCCATAACAAGCATTGAACAGTTCTTCAGGACGCAGACACCTTTCTTTGTAAGGTCTAAAATGCGACCAGGAGTTCCAACAAGTAAATGAACAGGTTGATAAAGACGGACAATATCATCCTTTAGGCTGGTTCCTCCAGTAGTGACCATCACTTGAATCTTCAAATGTTTCCCAAGCTCCTTGCAAACTTGTGATGTTTGTAGAGCCAATTCCCTTGTGGGAACCAATATAACAACTGAATATAAGAAGAGATTCAATAAAGGATCAGAGATGATGAAATCATGAAAGTGTTTTCCTTTGATCACCACACAATTTAGGAACTCCATGTAGGGCAAAACAGGTGCTAGTCTAGAAAAAAACCTTGAATAGCATTTTTGTCTTGATCAATCTTTTCCAGCGCGGGTATACAAAATGCAGCAGTCTTGCCAGTTCCATTTTTTGCTCTTGCAAGAATATCACTGCCAGTTAATGCAATAGGAATACTTTCTTCTTGTATAGGAGAAGGTCTTTCAAATCCTTTCTCATATATCCCCATAAGGAGTTCTCGCTTCAGAAAATAGTCTTCAAATTCATTTCCCTTGGTAGCAGTAACATCCTACACATTTTTTCAATGACACTAGCTTAGCAGAAGATTGAGAACATGTGCAACAAACAAACGCAACAGGGACACCATAAACTAAGTACAACATTTAACTTATCCAGGGGTTCATTTAATAACTAGTTTAATATTCTGAATATCTTAATGTTGGCACAATCAACACATAACCTACCTATGGTGTAATGTGTACCAACAGTCATATAATCTGTTCAATGCAATACCAGCATAGCATTTTTCTCTGGGAACAGAATGGAATATGTAATCTATACTCCTTCAAAAGAAGGTGGTGGTGGTGGCAGTGAATCTGCCTCCCCACTTACTCTCATTATAAATATTGCAAATTAGCCCCTGTAAACTTCTTAATAAAAGTCAAATATAAATGGATAGCCACATATAAAATCAAATTAAGGTGAATATTCCCTATGGTAGAAAGACAGGTAACACGTTGTATGGAAAATATGTTATATTTATATTACAATATATTTTCTTTTACCCATATCAAAGCATTCAGATAGTCCTGTGAAATATTGAAATTTGGCTATTTGTAACTAAGATGAGGTACAAGAGATGAGCATGAAAAGATATATTATCAGAACTAGGCCTGGAAGCTTCTAAAATTAAAATGGCGATTCTATTAATTTATTTACCGCATCAAAACCTCATGTAGGAAATTAGGAAACACAAAACACCCACACTGATAGAATGCGAGGGTGACAATTATGTCAACTTGTTAACATATTTGCTAGCTCATTACAATCATTAGCACCCAGCACTAATATGACAAAAGGAAAATATTGTTCTATAGTACCTCTGTCCTGTAGCGTGTATCTTGCGGTGGGAGCTTCAGTTGGGCCTTCCAGTCTTGTGAACTGCACAAGGTTGAACTTATTTCTTTTTACTTTATTCATGATGTTAATCATATACGGATGAAGAGGAATTAAAGTATCCATAGTATTTTTCTAGTTTAACACCAGCAGCTACATATATCTATACTATCTTAGAAGATGCTAGTGGTGGTGGTGGTTCTGCCACCCCCATCTATCTGACAACTGGGGGCCACCATCTATCTTGTGGGCTCATCATTGTTGTCTAACAATGTACTAGAGTGAGAAGCTCTATTTGCTTCATGAGAGCCCGCTGCAACTTACGGGTATTTTGCTAGTCATCCATAATGTACACAATGCACGGTACGGACTAAGTTGCTCAGCAGTCATCAGGAAACTGTCTGCTTGACTGCTTGACAGCATTAGTTCACTCCAACCAATTTCTGGATTACTTTGCAAAAGTCTACGACGTTTTGATTATTTTGAATTAATACAGCACGCTCAGACGGAGGAGGTGTGATCCAAGCATGCTGACCAGAAAAGTAGACCTTTACACTCTAATTCCCCTATATAACACCACTTTTGTCCGTCTAAAAACACATACGCTCGCAGGTCGCAGCGCATCGCCTAAGGAGCACAAATTTTTCTTCAATTTTTTGCAACTTCGCCTAGATACCTATTGATCGACAAGTGTAGGCTTCACCCCTCACAGCAGAACAAAATCCAAAAATAAGTCCACCAATCGCGTGAATACCGAGCCTTAATCTAACAATACCAAACGGGAAGCCTTCCAAGCGTCTCCCTCACCTCGAATCTATGCCGTCCGCGACAGGCGGCGCCTTCTGCTCGCTGGCGCCCGCGGCCTCGGCGGCGATCTGGTTCCGCCGAAGCCACTGCTGATGCTGGCTGTTGTGCGGCGTTTGCTGCGGCTGCGGCTGCCGCTGCACGTACTGGTGGTGGTGCGGGTGCGGCGGCTGCTGGTGCTGGTGCTGGTGCTGCTGATGCTGCGATGGCGGTGGGCCACGGCCGTAGTAGTTAGGGTTCCCGCCCCGGCCGTTGCCGATGCCGGGAGGGTACCTCGCGCGCGGATCCATCGCTACGAGGGCGCGCGGCGCGGCGGAGCTCAGATCCGGCCGCAGGCTTGGCTGGGAGGAAGGGATCAAGGCGGTGCTTCGCTCCAATTGGGGGATTTTTAGGGGAGCATTTCCCTCCTCGTGAGTTCGTGGGTGGGGTGGGGGTCGTGGGGGAGGGGGGGAGCTTGGGGGAGCGTCGCGGAACGAAGCCGGGCTAGGCAACGCCGGAGTCGGACGGGTGGAGCGAGAAATTACGGGAGTGCCCTTTACTTCCTTGTGTTTAGGGCCTCCTACCTCGGCTTTTGCTCGTGTCTTGGCCCAAATTCAAGCGGGCTGAAAGATTAGGAGAAGTACACCGAGGTCCCTCAACTTGTCATCGAGTTACAAAATCGCCCCCTACCGAAAAACTAGATATATAACATACCTCAATATACAAAACTGTTTACTTTAGGTCCTTTAATGATTCTGACCTTGATTTTGTCCGACGTGGCGGCTGAGTCAGCGTGGGACCCACATGAGCCCCACATGTCAGGGTGACCATGTCATCAACCTCTCTCCCCTCTTCTCTCCCTTCCTCTTCTCACTCTCTCACTTTGCTCCTCGTCTGGTGGCTGGTGACGGGCAATGGCGGCGGCGACTTGGTGCGGCACCGACGAGGATGGGGTCGGCGTCGAGCCCGGACGCGGACCAAGGTGAGCCGACGGCCATGCGGTCGACCAGCATGGGGAGAAGAGCGGCGGCGAGGCGGCACGGCATCACCGACATGGGAGAGAATAGCAGCAGCGAGGCACCACGGCATCACCAACATGGGGAGAAGAGCGGCGGCGAGGCAAGAGCAGGCTGGGGAGAAGAGCGGCGGGCGGCCTAGGGAGAATGGGAGGCGCGCGACGCGATTGGCGGCCGATATGGGAGAAGAGCGGTGGCGGCGCTCGTTTGCTAGTGAAGACGGGCTGTAGCCGGGGGAGACCAGAGGAGTGCGGCGTGGGCAGCGGCCGGCAGGGAAGAGCGGTGACGGAGCATGTCCCCTTACCTCTCTCGTCTTCCTCCTCTCAATGTTTGCCTTCATCGACGTCGCCATTTAAGATGCCAGCCACCACCGCGCGGCTATGACGGCTATCTTCTCTGCCGGCTACCGCCGCCCATCACCCTCCATCGCTCCGACCCTCCCCATGCTCCTCGTTCGCTCTCCCCTGTGCTCCCGCCGCCAACTCCCTCCCCTTCAACCGTGTCGCCACCATCGCCTCCTGCTCTCACATCGCCGCACTGCCATGTCCGCCTCCCATGGGTCGTTGTCTCCCCCTCGCGCTCTTCCGCCACGCCATCCTCCTATCCTCCGTCCCGGTCTAGTCCTTCTCTGCCACCACCACCCTCGCCGCCGCCTGACCTCCTCCTCTCCCCTCCCCCTCCCCCCCCCCCCCGCGGCAGCGTGCGGGGGAGGAAGCCGCTGGCGGCGACTCCGCTCAGCGGAAAGAGGCGAAGAAGAAGGCTACCACGGCGGCAGCAACGAGGATGCGGGCGGAGCGTTGCCTCCGCCAGCACGACGTCGGCCGCCGAACCTCTTCCTCTCTCCTCCCCCCACCAGCGGTCCTCCCCACCCGTCGGCTGCCTTGCCGCCTCCCCAGATGAGGATGGGAAATAAGTGAGAGGTGATGAGGTGGCATCCTGACATGTGAGGCTCACGTGGGTCCCATGCTGACTCAGCCGCCACGTTGGATAAAACCGGGGTCAAAACCACCTAAGAATTTAAAGTGAATAATTTTGTTAAGTTGAGGGATGTTATATATCTAATTTGTAGTTGGTGGACGATTTTGTAGGTCGATGACAATTGACAAGTTTGAGGGACCTTCGGTGTACTTTTTCCGAAAGATTATAGGCCTAATGGGCACAGCACGGCCATGGACCGTACCGGCATGGCTCTTCTGGCCAGGCCATGTCACCCTGGCCCAGCGTGCCAGCACTGCACAGCATGGCTTGCGTTCCGGGCACGGTACGACCTCAACGAGTGAGCAGAAGGCCGAAACGACAGTACACAAGAGCCAGTTGGAGGAAAAGGAACTGGGCGGCGGCGTCGCCGTGGAGCGTGGTCATTGACGGGGACGAAGACGCAGTGGCACGGCACATCTGGCACCCATATAGATCGTTTTTACTGAAAATAAAGCCACCAGGGCACGATAGATATGATTTACTTCCTCCGTTTTACGTTGAACCAAGTTTGTATAAAAAAATAGTAACATTTCAAAACGTCTTGTAACCTGAAACGATGGGAGTATCTAATATTTTAACACAACCTTCATATTAAAAAGTTTTCACACAAAATTTACCATTTAGCACTTTAAAAAATGTGCTAAAGAAAACCGAGATAAGATCTATATCGTAATAAAAAAGAACAGGGCCACATGGATTTACTTTCTTAATTGGTCTATACGTAGAAACTACATATGTCTTCTTTTAAAAAACAGAGTACAGGAAGCAAATCCATAGGATTTTCTTAAATGCATGTGTTTTTGCTACGGATAAACTAAAAAAAATATCATAATATTGCCTCAAATAAACAAGAGCATATTTTCCATGGAATATGTTATCTACATTTTTTCCATAGGAAATACGCACCGTAATTTAATTATATGTGGCTATCTATTTAGATTTAGTTTTTTTATAATATTTAAAAGTTTAAGAAATAATTTGTAAAAACTATAGCGGAAGGTCTTTATTTCCTGTAAGCAGATTTTGTATGTTTTGGCTTTCTCAAAAAGCCGGGTAATCAATTTGTCTGTTATAAAAAAAATATAGCGGAAGTAGGTGAGGTTGCAGATTAATTTCCACCAACCCACTATCGTTGAAGTCTATTTACAAAAATATATATTGTTCTGTTCAAAAGGAGATAATATGCCAAAAATTTCATTTGAATTGGAATCATTCAAATTTCCTTCAATCCAAATGAGCTATTTGGACTACATTTATCTACGTATGAAGTGAAACACGGTGACCGATCGGTTAGCCGGTAATTCTGGTACTATTTCTGGGGTAAGAATGAACTTATGGTGCAAAAACACAGTATCCCAATAGCACTTTCTCCTTGGACATGTCTTTCTCTTCGATAATATGGAAGAAGTGATCTCTCAAGTCTCAACCTACCACAGGGTCACAGCCTCACAGGGGATCAGATTTTCAGAGAAGCATAACAGAACGAAAACACAAATCAATCCGGACTCCACAATCGTAGAACTGCAGTGGTGATTGAGTAGATCTTTTTGTGGACTATTCCCTCCGTCCCAAAAAAACAAGGCAAACCCTGAGTTTCTGTGTCCAACTTTAACTGTCCGTCTTATATGAAATTTTTTTATAATTCGTATTTTCATTGTTGTTAGATGATAAAACATGATTAATATTTTATGTGTGACTTGTCTTTTTAATTTTTTTATAATTTTTTCAAATAAGACGGACGATCAAACGTTGGGCACGGAAACCAGGGTTTGTCTTTTTTTTTGGACCGAGGGAGTATGTCTCATTGGCTCGGGAGTAATTGAGAGCGACCTGCATTTGCATGGACATATTAGCTAGCATGCGGATGCGGTGTTCCTCAGACAAGAACAGAATACTGAAAGCCTGAAAACCGTGCAATTGTGACGCTCTGTTTCTGTTATTCTTTCTGAACCGTTTTCCGGAAAACCAGAGCTGTATACACGAAGTCACGAACCTTATGAAGAGAAAGCTAAGACTGTACTTCGACGCACAACTCATGGCTTCGAAGTCCAAACTCAACACTACAAGCCAGTAAGTTTAACTACTACACATGCACGGCACGATTTACACCTCTGAAAAAGAGGGGGAAAAAAAAGAAACTGACGAATTTACACTTCGGCGACGAACTGTACGGAAGAAAGAGCGTACGCTCCCGCCTAGTTGATGCCGAGGAACTCGCTCATGGAGAGCAGGTCGCAGAGCCCTCCTCCTCCCTGCATGTGATCGGCCGCGTCGTCGAAGTCCCAGCAGAAGCCGCCGTCGCCCAGCCCGTGCAGGGAGTCCACGGCGCCGCCGCACGGGACGTCGACCTGCACCGACGACGAGCCCTGGTAGCTCAGGCCCGGCGCCGTCCCGGCGAGGCTAGTCCCGTAGTCCATGTCGAACCAGTCGGCGAACATGACCTTGGGGATCACGGGCGCGTGCGGCCGGACGGCGGCGAGCCCCGCCGCGGGCTCGGTGAGGCTGCTCGAGTCGTCGGCCGACGACGACTCGACCGGCCCGGAAGACTCGGAGCTCGCCGGCCGGTCAGCGGCGACGCGTTCTTGGCCGGTCTCGCTGCGGTTCGGGCTGCCGGTGACGACGTCGGCCGGCTCGGCGGATTTTCTGGCCGCAGCCTCCGCGCCTTCGACTCGCTTCTTGAGGTACGAGTTCCAGTAGTTCTTCACCTCGTTGTCCGTCCGGCCAGGCAGATGCCGCGCTATCTGTGACCACCTGCAACCACAAATTTCCATCACCATGTTAGATAAAAGTCCTAGTTTCAAACAAAAAAAGTTAGATAAAAGTATTTCTTATCTAGTATAACTTATAATCGCCTTCTTAATCTTTTTTTTTTCGAATTACTATTGCACAGTCAGTCTAATAAAGGATCTTTTATTGTCATAGTAGTACCACACGTTGATCTTTTCTAGGTTTCGTCAAAGCAGAGGTTTCCATAATTCTCAGTGAACTGTGATTAGTCTGATTGTAGTACAGCAGTTGCCGTACGTCCATGTTCATAAATGAGATTGTACAGACTGTTGGTGTCTAAGGACGGTGTTAAGATTTCTGACGATGGAACCAGGACTAAAGAAGAGTGCAAAAATAGCTGGCAACTTGCATTTGCACCAGTAAGCAACCACATCACCTCCAGAAAATGCGTTAGTATTTTTCTCAAGAGGGGGAGAGAGGAATCAGACACTGATTTTTCCCCCATTTCTTTTATGCTAAGAAAAGGTTAACCGTGACTAAGCACGCCTTTCAGCAAATAAATTAATCAGAGGAAGATGGTTGTTCACAATCATCAAATGTGCACCGGAAAAAAGAAGCAATTGATTGCCTCAATATGGAACGTAGATGTCAGCATCAACTACACCACTCAAAAGCGGTCTAGATGGCCAAAATCAGCATTTCCTTTTGTTCTTACTTAACCAGGCCCTTTTCCACTCTGAAACTGAATTTGCCGAGCTGACACTAGCAAAGTGCAGTAGTAGTAAAAGAAAAAAAAAGAGTAAAAAGGCAGAAGGTAGGATGTCCAAAATTACTCTCTGTTGGAGTAATTACTTTGCTAAATTAATTAGCGTTACTTGACAGCAATCTCCTGGCTCTAAAGGTAAGGTGAAAAGTGTGACACTTACTTGTTGCCCATTGTAGCGTGCAGGTTCATGACGGTTTCTTCTTCCTCTCGGGAAAACATGCCGTGCTTCAGCCCCGGCCTCAGGTAATTGATCCATCTCAGCCTGCAACTCTTGCCGTTACGCTGCAGCCCTGCATGAAAGGCAAATTCAGAAGAGAATTCAGCTCACCAGACAAGGTACATTTGACGAAAAAACACAAAAGCTCAAACAGGCTTCATCTATCGTCCTGAAGCTGAACAACACTTTGCAAATAGTAGGAAACAAAAAAAATCCCTTCTCCCCTTCCCTTAAATCAAGGTGCATTTGAAAAAAAAAAGAAAAAAACGAGAGCAGCAACAAGCAAACAGGGGGGTTTTGAAGCAGGACACAGGTGCAATGCATTCAGGCGTACAGCAGTTGCAAAATTCGCGGTGAATTCCCCGGCGAAATCGTCGCAGGCGGAGCTCGGAACCGTGGTCTTACCGGCCTTCACGGGGACGGCGCTCCAGCAGCCGTGGCCGTAGCGGAGGATGAAGTCGCGGAGCTTCTGGTCCTCCTCCGGCGACCACAGGCCCTTCCGGTAGTGCACCTTGGGCTTCTGGCACGCCTTGCACCCCATCAATGGCGGACGAGAAGAGAGCAAGAGGAGACTCTAGAGTCTAGACTCTAGAGAGACAATGCCAAACCGCGAGCAGCACGAGGGGAAAAGAAAGCAGAAGAAGACTTTGGCTTGGTAAGGAGGAGGAGGAGGCGGCTTGCTTGGACGGCCGTGATTGCTTTGCGGCCTGCACTGTTGTGTCGGTCTGCGTTGGCGTGAGAGATGGGCGCAGGGGCTTTATAGGCCTCGCCCAATCATCACCGTTGGCCCTGTGGCCCCTCACGGGAATAAGCAAGTGGTTAGGTCGCCGATTGTTTTTCCTTCTTTTAGTTCCGAGGAAAAAATAAATGGTTTTTTTTATCTGTCCGACCAAAACCATATATGTACATGGCACTAGTATCATTACATCGGACGGAGTACATACCTTCGCTTTCTGTAATTCTCAGAGGCTGCAGTAGTCTGAAAGCAGATGCAATTTTTAGCGAAATAAAATTACAAGGTTTGGCACTTGCAAGAGACAAGAGTAAACCCCGTGATAATGTCTGTTTATGCGGCGGAAACCAGACGGGAAATCGAAAGGCATTTTAATTTGTTCGCCACTAGTGTGCCTGCCACTGCCACCACAGGTGTCCACGCCACCGGCGGTCCGCATGCGTGCTCACGTAGTCACTCATCACTCGGGCTGCTGTTGCTACGCATTGGCGCCTTGGCGTGCTGCCACCGCTGTTCAAGGCACACGTTCGTGTCACCAGTCGCCGCTGCATATTGACACATGTTGTGCCCTTTGCTGTTCGGTGCCATCGTTTTGTGCACATTCACGCCCAAAAGATGGAATGGTGTGCTTACGTTCTGGCATCCCTGAAGACTGAAGTCGATGGATGAGGTGCTTGCTGTACTGCTGCTGAAACGAAAAACCTTAAAAGGACTTAGATCATCAATATATGTGAATATGTGTTATAATAGGGGCTGATCGGTAGTGCTGACTACAATTACGCCGCAGCAGTGTCGAATCAGAGTTGTCTGGCTGGAGCACAAGTGCTGATCATGGCCACTAAATTTTAATATGCGAAGACAACAGTTGATTTGTCATTAAAAATATTTTCATGTAGTAATAATTTATAATTTTTTATCAATGTATTGCAATAAAAGATAAAAATCAAACTTATATATTGAGGGCTCTATCGATATCCTAATTAAACATCAAATAAAGTATATCCGTATATGTTAAACGCAATGTTAAAAATAAAAGTAAATTTCAGAAATCTTCCAGACTATCAATATGTTGCAACTTCAGCAAAGCATTTCAATGAACTACAATAATAGCATAAGATTTTATTGAAAGCTGCAATTTTATAGCTCTAACAAGATATTAGACTCACTTGTTATACACATAGGAGTAATGCATATTGTGTTATGAGATACTTGTATTGTTGCAAATCGGGATCACATGTCATACACACTATGGGATAAAATTATGGTTTTATAATAAAACCGTTCGTTGTTGCAGTTGTTGCAATTATATGAAATATCTAGTTAAAGATGTAGTAAAGCGATATAATTGATCAAATAATGGCAGTTTTATGAATTTACTCTAAAAATAAATAGGGGTAGTATGACTTTCCCTCCACTTGTGTCGGTCTAGTGTGTTGAGTTGAAATGAATAATACATGAGTATTTTATTTACTGAATTTGTAAAGGCAGTCCTTTATCATAATGATAGTACTCTCTTTTTCAAAATATGGCGCATTGTTTACTTCCTTTATCATATTAAAAAAATTAGAAGTACACGCCTACCCTGCAAAATTCTCATTATGTACGACGTTACGTTATTTTGTTGTGAAGCTTGATTTCAACTGCAGTTTTCTGGCGACTTTAATAATATTGAATCGTTCAATTTTAAGACGTCAAACTGCCAGTTCGAAGAGTTACGGACCAAATATTTTAATCCCAGCAGGAAGAAATAAATTGCTTGTGACGGAAAGCTACAGAAACTATACGTGCATATGTCCTCCCATTTACACGTACACACATATAATGCAGAAAGAAAAGGTAAGATCAAGTAGTTTATACACCGGACCGCCATCGTTGAATCAGACCATAATATATACTCTGTACGTTTATTCCCATTTCATCGCTATATATTTTCCGTGTTTAGGTAGCAATGCAAATATTCGGTTTTATCGTTTACTTGTTCCATTGTATTACTAGTTTATGTGTTTCGGTAGACATAATCCAATTCTTTTTTGGATATTCGGTGCGTCGTGTCGGGAACGGCTCAAACTAATTGACGCCTCACAAAAAAGTCGTCTCCTCTTCTTGGCAACCTGCAATGCAAGGCTCTGAAGATTACTGCTACTACATCAGGACAACGGGGATCTGAGCTTTTTGGAAGGATCGGCCAAGTTCTTCTTGGGGTCTGGAAAGGCTCCAGCTTTTCGCGATTCTTATTAAAACACCCAACTAACAACAATTATATATATCGAGGCGTTTAATTGCACGAGGAGCATGTTGATCTCTTCGTCATCGTCATGCTTTTCCTGAACTATCGGCAAGTCGATCGCTAGCCAGCAACGCGAACATGTACGCTGCATATTTTTTATACGAATCGGACGCCGTTTTGGGGCTGACTCTCTGTTGCGTTGTGTACACGGGGCCAGGACGGGAGAATTCACCAGGCGTTGCCGCAAGAAACAGCGGGCAGATTTCAGTCAGGCTGCAGCCTGCAGGCCAAAGCGGGGGGTCAAATGGGAACAAGTGCCAGGGGCTCGCGCTCGGCTCCGTGGTCGTCGCGGCCTGGCCGTGCACGCGCCATGCGTGCGCCTTCTTGAAATTTCGCCGGTTTCGTGTGCAGCTGGCTCGATCGGTGTCTTCCTCCACGGGTTCTCTAATAAGAATCTTATCTTTCCGTTGATCCATCTAGCCTCACTGATGCTTTTGATGTAAGCACGCACGTTTCCTGTTAAATTGACACCGATCGAGTTTTGCGTAAAACTTGGGCAATGAAGCTGGGAATTTTTCGGACCAGATACTTTTGATCGGTCTTATACATAGAACAGTAGCGGTGTAGCGGAGGGCCAGGGTTAACGCGATCACGCGAGGCAGAGTGTGAACTATGCGTTGATGAAAGCACGGAGAAACCCCGTAGGGAACGCGAGATTGTTTGTTCCCAGGGGAGGCAAAAGTGTCCTGGAAAACAGCGATGAACTGTGCAGCAGATGCAGAAGTAGATGCTGTTGTGACGGCGCGGCGACGAAGGGAAAGAAAGAGAAGCATAGCTCGTGCGAGAAAAGCTTTAGGTAGCTCGTGCACGGCGAGCGTTTTGTACAGATCGACGCGTCATCATGCGGGTGTGCCGCTGCCGCCATGCTCTTCTTTGTTGGCTTCCGTTGATGTGTGACCCATGATCGCCTCTCGCGCGTTTTGCACGCCGTTTTGTTTTTCTTCCATATGCCGCGGAAGATTCCGGTCGAGGTTGAGTTTTCAACCATGGATCTGATCATCATGACCGGATTTTCCCATCTCTTTTTCGCCGTAGACATAACACGACATGCAGTAATGCATAGTGCGTAGTAAACAAACAGTGCTAAGAACAAAGCAGAAGGCTCAGAGTGAGCTTGTGAGATGTGGCTCCATGCCACGCTGTTCAGTATTTTCATGGTTATAGTTAACTACTCATGATGTAATGTACCCAAGCAAATAGTGACAAACCTCACTAACAAGGACAACCTCGCAGATTTTTTTTTCCAAGGACAACTTTTTAAAATAAGTTGGTGATAGACTGATAGTTAACTTCAATTTGCTTGTACAGTTCAAGCCGACAAATTTTAGACCGGAAAAAGTACGAAATACCCCCCTGAACTATCGCGGTCGTCCGAATTACTCCCTGAACCACAAAACCGGACATTCTTCACCCCCAACTATACAAACCGGACGAATTACCCCCCTCGACCCAATCCGTGGTGGTTTTAGTCTACGTGGCATACGCGTAGCAGTCCAGTCAGCATTATTTATATATATATATATATATATAATGCTGACTGAACTGCCACGCGTACGCCACGTAGACCAAAACCACCGTGGATTAGGTCGAGGGGGGTAATTCGTCCGGTTTGTATAGTTAAGAGTGAAGAATGTCTGGTTTTGTGGTTCAGGGGATAATTCGGACGACCGCGATAGTTAGAGGGGTAATTCGTACTTTTTTCTTTTAGACCCAGTCATGGAAATTATGAAAGGTTTGACACAAGTGGCAACATGCATGTAGTATATGCATGGTTGACTAGCATGTCATGATTTCCATCTGTTAGATTACTAAAAGTTTATATATATATTGAAAGGTAAGAAACTCCAGTTTTTAGGAGCATAATTACCGCGCGTTAACCAAACGAAGAAAGAGTGCGTCAAGATTGCGAGTTTTATATATGGTGTAGATTTACCACATTTATCAAATTCACCATCAACTAGTATTCATCAACGACTAGTGTAGATTGACTTGGCGTTTCTTAAAGTCATTGCAAGCGTATAAAAACTACTACCTGACATATATGTTGAACAAAAATGTCAACATCTCCCGAATTTTCTTCTTCCTCTGAAAGGAACATAACATGCCGCTCTAATGATGAAGTCGCCTGTGAGCAATATGGCTGAGGAGGAGGAACAAACTACCCCAAAAAATGGGTAAAACTAGTAAGATCCTAATGGTATACTCCCACTGTAAAAAATAGATTTAGCTTTGACGAAATTCAGGCAGAAGCTATCTGTAGCGACGTGCTCAGCTGTTTCAGTTGTACACACCGGTCGGATGGAGGAGTCGCATACATAGCAGGGTTTGATTTTTTTTATAGGACGGAGGGTGTACCTAGGTATGGCTAGTGATCATGGAGAGGGTTAGATTAGTGGTGATCGGTGGACCTAGAGCTTTTCTAATAGTCAATATGGACTATTTGTTGTGGTGGTTTTGTAAATCCCATAACATCACTCGGTTTTGGTTTTGATAAATATACTCATAAAAGAAAAGAAAAAAGCTATATATGTTAGTCTTTTAATTCATAATTCGACGCTGTCGACATAGACACATTGTCGATCGAACCTTTTTAACGTAAACATGGATGTCAATGTTTCTCTTCTAAGCTAAATATAGTGCCATCGACCTAATGGTTATTGGTTTTTTTTATTATAAAGTGATATATCTAATTCTATGAAAATAGACATTTTCATTGAAACATATCTAAGCACAAAATTCTCAACAGATTCAATTGGACCTCATGACGCGGAAGGAGAAGGGTCAAGTCTGAAAACAGAAGCATCGTGTTGTGAGCAATTCTAAGAGAATCTTGTCGACGGACTATACCGCAGACGGTATTTGTAGAGTATGTGGATTGTTGGTGCCAAGGTATACGCGAGATTGAGGTAAAAAAGACGGAAGACAAAGATTTTTATACAGGTTCATGCTCCTTAATTGACGGGTAATAGCCATACTCCTATTGGCCGAAGCTGGTGTTGCCTATATATC